AATGTCTCTCTCAAATTCTGCCCCATCCCAACTGGGTACCCAGTAACTAACATTAAAAAAAATCCAACCCCCTTTTACAAATCAGAATTTCTTTTTTTTTCCTTGCAAGGACTTAAGGAAGAGTCCTTATAAGATATAAATGAAAGACAGCGTGGTCTCATCTGCTAGATTTTACGTCTCAGAGGGTTTAACACCATATTTTACTCCGGCTGTACCACTGTCAGGTACCATGAAGTAAAAACTTAACACAGAAATGTAAGAAAAAAAATCCGTGTAAACAGAAAGCTTATTTTGCATGTGATTTTATACGCTACCTCACATTTCACTGACAATACACATTTATCAGATGCAGACAAGCAGATCTACAGACATACATAATTCTTCACTGAGGCCAGCCGAGGAATATTTCATGCAGAATGCCTCTCCTGTAAATAAGTGTTCAGAGAACTAAAAAAAAAAATAAATTTCATACTCCCTTCCTTGGTCTCTAAGAGGAGAGAGAAATCCCCCATCTGTTCTACCTGACATCTCTATCAGCATTCCTGTGTGCCCGGGGAGCTTTCAGACCTGCAGCCCCCAGCCAGAATGGAGGGAACGCGGCATCAACGCCTGCTGGAGAGTTAAAGATCAGCTCTTTGGCTGCCAAATCTGAATAGCTCTTTTCTGCACCACTGAAAAGCAATGAGGATGCTTCAATGAACACTCTAGGTTGTTTAGGTAGATGAATAGTTGAAGTTGCTTTTCTGGCATGTCCTCTGTATGTAAGCTGGCACTGTCCCATAATTCTGAAAGGCCCACATGGCTTATGTTGTACGCTGCCCGCTTCTCTCAGATAATATTAGTTCAGTTTTGCTATCTAAAACATGTATTCCATTAAGTTACCAAATTGATCCTAAGTGATGGTAGAGGCTTTGGATGAGAAAAAACTCCCTTAATAAACACACGTCCTTTCCTTTGCATTTGCATAAATAAAATTTCCCAGGCATGGTACCAGGGATGCTGCAATGAGCCATGTCCTGAGCAGGAGCGACAGGCGTGAACCTTCCAGAGAAGCAGGACTGCAAACGTAATTTCACCCTCACCTTCAGCACTTCTCTCACTAGAATGAAAGAACCACCCGGACCTTGCCAGGTCCCCAAAGAGCCACCTGAGCTTGAACAGGGGGGACGGGGAGTTCACCTGCTGGTAGATTTTGCCTTCCAGTATGAAAATATTAACAAGGGAACTTTCAGGGGAACGAAGACCTTGTGGCTTTGCCCTACAAAAGCATAACCACGTCCCTGTTACAGAGTACTTGTGACAACCAAAGCCAGTGGAAGATTAGGAGGAAATCAACTTCCTTTTCCCTTTACACACTTTCTCGAGAACCCATTGCTTACGGCCACTGTAGCAAGTTGCACTACGTATTACAGTATAAAGTGGCATCTGCAAAGTATTATCCATAGACCTGGGGATCTTGATCTTTAGCTTTTCTTCTTAGTTCATTAAAATGCCAGTTTTCTGTATTTTTAAAACACTGCCAACTTCAGGGATAATCCATAATGATAGGCTGTGTGAGGCACAGGCTGATGGATACTCGGCTTATATTTCAGGTCCTCTTTCTCACATCAGGCTGCCTCTGTCTCTCTGGTATATTGAAATCTTTTGATGAAATCCTCTCACTCCACTGCTTCCTTATTGATACTCCCCCTTTGTCTGGCAAAATTTTAATTACTACAGTACTGCATAACTCCATTCAGTGCTCCGATGCTACCCGTGTGATAGGAGCAAAAGCAATTCCTAAGATGGAAACAAAGTATAATACTCTACCACTACGTCTTCTTTTATGGCTTCTAGCACCCTCTTTACAGCTGCTAATATATTGTGGTCTCTGCATTTCACTTACTGATTTCTGCTCTCCTTCACTCAATGTGTCCTTTTTCTCACCCAGAGAATTAACACCCCATCTCTCCTATCTCTCTTTCCTGCTCCCAGTTACAAGGTAGTGAAGTTCTCTTCTCCTTGCCGTGCTATTCTTTCCCATCTCTCAAAGACAGGAGTCCGTATAGTGCTTTACATCTTCTGCAACACAGTTAGCAGCCAGAACGCAGCGGTGTTACTGCGTGTTGCTCAACGCACAGCGGGCAGACCTAACACAAAAGTCAGAGCAGCAATGCTGAAGACTTCAGAGGACTGAAGGGAAAACTGAACTATACAGGCTTAAATATACCCTGAGAGGAACATACAGGAGCTTTTCATACCTATTGGTTCTGCTGGGTTGCTGGCTCTAGACGCTGACTTCTATCGACATTAAGTAACCATTAAAAACAGACAAGGTTCTACTGCAGGACAGGTAGAATTTTACATATGAACTGTACACATACATTATCATGCAATTTTAATTTAAAATTCCATTTGAGAATTAATAGTAATGGCCTCCCTTTCAGCTAGTCCCCTCCACTTTTGCTTTCACAGCAGCAGTACTGGCTTACGCTATCAAAAGCCTTAAGGGGAATAGGTCAGTAGAAAATCTCCGCTCTGCACTAATACATTTCAACACCTGAGAAGCAAAAAGGCAGCAATTAAGCAGAGCAAAATAAATAATTCAGTAGTTAATTTGATCTGCCAGGTTGCAGAGTATTTTTTTATATCCTACCAGATTGTATTTTAGTTTAGAAGTATCATCCCTGGAGAGTAATGCTGTGAGAGCCCGTAAAATGCTATAGTGCAAATAAGGCAAAAGCTCACCCATAAATGGGGCAACTATTGTTTAAAGAAGTTTTTTTTGTTGTCAAAGTCCTGCATATTTCATGAGGAAGTGACAAAGTCCTCCGATTCTTTACGAATTAATCTGCCAACTGATTAGGCAGGTAAAGCAGCCATAGATTGGAAGACTAAAATTGCACTGCAGGTACTTGACTTTTAAATGGAACACAAACCAAACGGAAAGCTAATGCTCTCTTCTTCGGTAAAGGAATTGGCTTCTTTTTAATTGCCTCACAAATAATCCACAGACAGCTTTGAGTGGGAGCAATCCATGCGGCCTCTGCATACATGAACATACATTGAAAATGGGGGGAAATACCCGTGCAAGATGAGACTTAGGAGGTGAACAGAACAGCAGTACTTCAACAAGATACTCCCGCATGACTACCAAGTTTATAGGGTTATGGAGTAGGGGTAATGTTAGCGTGGTGGGAAAAAATAAAGCAGTCCAGTTTCTAGTAAAAGAAGATGAGATGAAAATTGAGATGACAGGCAACCGCATGGGCACAGGTGGGCAGAATTAAAACTGTGAGGCAACAGGTAGAAGAAGGTTTGAAATGGCTGTCAGCAGCCCCAAAGGCTGAGGGGAACAACAGGAGAAGCACCAGAGGGGAACACGCTGAGCCTCCGCAGGAGGCTCGGAAACAACGGGATACGCGATGCTTCTGGTGCCCGTTTGCCATTCTCAGTCATCCTCTGCGGCTGCTCCAGAAGCCCGGAGGTCTCAGAGCAGCTGCGCAGGCTGGCTCAGCAGGATTGCTGAGACTTAAGCGCACTTGTTGAAAGGAGAGTACACCAGGGAGGACGCAGTAAACGCAAACGCTTTTTATCTCGGATATGCACACACGCACTCTCATTTACTGAGCAGTCCAGGTTCTTGCTACGCTGATTTCAACCCTTTCTGACATTAAAGCAAAGCAGCAAGGTTAAAAAAAACCCAATCAAAACCAAAAGCAAGCCCAAACCCCTTTCCTGCTTACTGACACCATTGCCCAGCTTCTCTGGGTAGAGTACATCCGTAAGATCTCAACGTCCTTTACAGAAGTGATAACAAAGTTCTCCACAAGGCTCAGAAGACTGCCGCTTGGGCAGGACAAGCGCTGGGAACAGCACCCAGAGCACACTCTCGCCAGTCCCTGCTTCTGTCCAGTAGCTGATATTATCCTACATGAACGTTTGCAATGATTTGAAAGATTTAGTTGCTTTAAAAGTAAATAAATAAATTAAACTAGCTCTTAAGCTTCTAGAAAATTACTACAACTGCTATTATAGCCTTTCATAGTCCTGGGAAAAAAAACGGGGTGAGCATAAACCAGGTGCACTACAAGACTTATTTTATTGCATCTTCCATTTTATAAAGATATTCATGAATATATAAAAATAAACACTCCACTCCTTTGCAATTAAGTTTCGCTCTGGTTGTAAGTACAGCTATTTTTAGTTTTAATTTGGGGATATCTCCCAGAACTGCAGAGCATAATCAGCTCCACCATAACCCTGCATCATCATTATCAAATACCAGCCTATGTTTGGAAAACACACATTTTACATACTGAAGGTCCCAGCAGCCCTTTTTCAGCTGACTGTACATATCAGTTCCTTCAGTCCCAACTTCTAGTAATGCCAAATATTAGCCACTAAGTGGTGCTACACAGATTTACTCCAACTGCAGATCTGGCCCATTAGGCCCAAAACCGTGCTTGCCACAGTCAATGCTGCTCCCTTGCAAAACAAAGGGGATGAGGAAAGGCATGCTACTTTCAAGCCCCATTAAAACTGCAGGAAATAATTCACTGTTTCCCTCAAATGTAAATGCAAGAAAATTTATGAGAAAATGAGATTGGTATTCAAGTTTCTAAGAAGAAATGGTAGAAAATGACAAGGACATAAAAAAAAAAATACTTGAAAGCATGCATCTGCCTCCAGCCCTTAATGATGTCTCCCCATTTGGCTGCTTTGGAGGTTTTGTATTCACTGTGGTTTAAATTACTTCTCTCTCCACTGAGCTGTACTAGCGCAGGCACAACAGCTTTTTTATGGATCTTGCAGCCATTGCAGAAGATTGTTGGCAATGTTGCAATAATCAAGAATATTACTCAGAAGTAATTGCTGATGTGATAACACCAGCCTACAGCCGTCTCATCCCTACAGTTTTTCAGCTTCCCTGTTGCTGAGCAAATCTCTTTCACAGCCTTTGAGACACAGGGCACAGTGTAACAGTACTGCTCTCCCTGTGGGAACTGCCAACAACCTACCAGCCAATGTTGAATTCAACGTGAGCATCAAAGAACCCGACGACAGGAGAGGTTGCTGCTTTCCAGCCTTGGATTCTGGCTCGAATCAGTCCTTCTCGTTTGTTATTGCGCACTATTTTCACCAGACCTGGGTATCTTTTATTGACATACTGGTCCAGATTAAATTTCAGCTCAACTGCAGAACAAAAAAAAGACACAAATATTCAAATATTCAGAATGAGAAAAGCTCTTCTTAAGTATGTTTTACTTCGATTTATTCTGCAACAGAAAGGGAAAGAAATCCTTAAATATTCCTCACCCCGTAGTCAGTCTCACAGATACAGACCAAGTACTGCAGTTGTGGCACAGGCCAGTTCCAGGGGTATCAGCTCAGAGAAATCCTCTATGCACCAGAGCAGTTACTGTGCGACTTGCACAGGTTTAATGCGGCCTGATGGATTTGAGTATTGTTTTGGAGAGGCAGTTTGTCTAAATATTTTTAAATAATTACTATTCTAATTCTCTGATGATTTGCATTAGGTTACAACTGGCCTCTGGAGGAGCAATTCTGACCTTACAGCAGTGTAACATGGGAGACAGGTGATTGTTTTTTCTGATTTATGCTATTCAGTAAGAGTTTGAAAAACAACCTCAATGGATTTTGGGTCAAGACCTAATTCAGATCAGCATTACTTTCCCTTAATTTTAAGGGTTCTCCCTTAAATATAATTAAGACTCCTCAATACCAGGCTTCTTCCCTGTTGAACTAAATGGATATTGAAGATTTCAAATAGGCTGCTTCTCTTTTGTTCATTTTCAGGCATTCAACCACAGATGGAGCAGAACTCATTCACTCTTTTATTCAGCTTCATTTCAATAGGCTTATAAACAGGCAAATTACCAAAATGGTCTCTGTATTTTTTAAATCAATCTAGTCTGGTAATTCATTTACACTGCAACTTATTCATAATGAGGCTTTTACTCAAACATATTTATTAGGAAAACTAGTAGAAGCTTCCAGGACATTAGAAGCCTCATTCTTCTGATCTATATTACACAGCAGAATCATTATCATCGGAATCAAAGACCTGATAAATCTCCAGTTATCTAGAAGAATGACAGAGAAAAGCCGTGTAAGAGTTCACTGAGAAACGACGAGTCCAATTCTCCCCTGTATTACATTGACTCAAACACTTTGCAATCTCACATAATTACTCCACAGGTTACACTGCCGTAACTGAAAGCAGAATTAGACAAAAGTTTTCTTAAATCTATAGGTTTTGAACTTATTTTTCTTTCAGTGATTCGTTCTCTCAACCCTCCTTTCTCTTTGGGGATCTTGAAGAGGAACAGCAACTTAAAATGAAAGATTTAAAGCTGTTGATCTGTGGAGGAAATGTTAACCTTAAGCCTTATTTTAACAAATATGATTTGAGAAGCGGCGACAGTTCTAGAAGTCTAAGGTCTAACAACTTAAAACACCACAACACTGTTAGTCACCTGTATCCTAAAAGTTCTTCAAACCCCACCATCCCGTGAAACATGTTGATCAATAGCACCCTATATGCTCACCAATATTTTGAGTTTGGATTGCTGTAACAGGAGTGTTATTTTTACGTTAATGAACCAGATGACCTGAAAGTTGCATGTGCTTTGTGCCCATTCTGTTTCATTCTCATAGTCTAATTTACTCCTTACCTCAAAAAAAGAAAAATCAGACTCAAAATCCGATATTATCAACACCTGTTTAAATCATGAAGAAGCAGAGTGGGCTGCCATGTAAAAGACTAGAAACTATCTTTAAGAGAATCTGTAGCCCCACTTTTACCTGGAAGCAGATTTTAAACTTTTAGTCTGTTAACGATGATATTCCTCTGGATCCGAAAATTTGGAGAAAAGTGTCATTTCTATATTAAGATTCCCTATACAAACGTCACTCATCCTGTGAGGATTTCCATGAAATCAGCAGGGTTTATCCACATAATGTTTATTTATTGTACAAACAGTTAATATTTACTCACAGCTTTGTGCAAGTGGCTCGCTCAACCCTCTCATCAACAAACACAAACTCCTGTAAATTCTACTGCCTTCAACGGAGGTACGTTAGTTTACACCAACTGATGATCTAGCTTATTAGCCATAAATCAGTGTTGGCCTGTATGACCTTCCTCCTCTGGCTGTTTAAATGCAGAATGACTCAATGCTGTTTCATCCCAATATTAAAAAAAAAAAAGAATTTCAGCTAGTAGTGACCAAACTCCCTTTGATTTACATTTCACGTCCGTTAACTACATAGGATAGAGTACTCAGAGGAAAAACTACGTATGTTCACCATTGTCACTGTTGTCATCCACCAGAATGATCTCCTTGAGCAAGTGCGATGGGGTGTGATTCACAACACTGTGCACAGAGCGCAGGATGACAGAGAGTGCCTCGTTTACAAATATGAAGACCACGGAGATCTGGGGCAGGTCATCTGGGTAGGTCATCTGTTTGCACCTGGAGAGAAGAAAGAAAGAATTAAAACCCAAGAAGTCTCGTTGCTCTCCAGCATACAGGGACTTGCAGGCTTTGTTCTTTCTAACCCCAAAGATGCGGTAAAAGCTCAAAAGAAGCAACGTAGCTGGGAGCAGCAAACTTTCCATCAACTCAGTGAAAACCACAGGGTATCTGCATGCACACAGACTTGTAGCGGCTCTCGTTCTCTGGAAGGTTAAAAGCATCTCTTGAAAACCAAAGAAATATCAATGACTTTGCTCAAAAACAGCCTGGTGAAGGCCCACAATACCATAGCCTGCGTGTGCTCCCAGGGGAACCATCAGAAGGTCTGCTGTTAACTCCTTATTAGATCTCATACTTTTGAAACCTGGATCCACACATACAAAGAGCACTTGCCACCCTTTCCGATTTTGCAGTTTGCGCAGCAATAACAAATGCATGATGTTTGTTGTGCAGGCATGCACTTGCTGAAATATTTGCAAAACAGATCTGCTCCATCTGAGACATCACCTTGGTAGGCAGCTACCTCCCGAGAGTCACAACTTCCTTTTGTCCTTGCTGACTGATGCATATATGTCACCATTAGAGCATTTTGAGAAGACAAACCGAGGCCTGGAGAAGTCACACAGCACAGAGCAGAGCCTCTGCTTCCCATGCCCCTCTGTAAGACCATACTGCCTTATTTTAGTGGAATTCTCTCCCACTAGCAAAGATGCTAACATTAAAAAATTACCTACGTGTTCTCACAGTCAAAAGCCATTCAGAATTACCATAGCAATTACTGAACCTGCTCTCTAAAATACTGCTAATGATATCATAGGAAATGACTTTTCCTGCTCTTATCAAACTTTCTGACCTCTTTGCTCATTACTTTGGCATAACAATCACTTTTTTTTCCCACTATCAGCAGTCATGGGGATAGGGAGGGCGACAAATGCTTGACTGTTGGGTAACCTCTGGAAATCAGTTATGAGTTCTAGTAAAGTGCAATTATGCATAATTCCTACTCATCCCAGCACCATTTGCTCAGAGACCTACGTACTTGTCATTGATTACGGTGTTACTATAGCTACCTACTAGCAGCTTACTGGTGGTCTGTACCATACAGAGGACCACCGTGTAAAACTTCAGGCTAAGCAGCATTCTTACACAATCTAAAAATAAACCTGGAACAAGGACAGAGATTTACAGGAGGTGTGAATGCTCTGACACAGCCTGCTTTTTGAATTTCTTTTTGAATGTGATTTTCCTCTTGACCACACCAACATATCAAAGGAGTCCATCAGGAATACTTCACTAACAGGTAAGGGCCATCAGCTAAACACATAGACCTTGCAAGATTTCCCTTGATGAGGGACACCTTTGATCTGACAGCGATTTGCTTCAGAGCCTCACTTGTATCAGCAGGACATAGCAAATTGCATCTCAGTCAATCGGACCGGTACCCAGGGAGCGGGTGCACTGCTGGTGGGAGTGAGGCAGAGGAGGGAGCCCACCCCAGGCCATGCGTCCCGGTGGGGCCCTGCATCAGCCCTCAGAGCTAGCAGGAAAGAAGGGAAGCAAAGAAACCACATAGCCGAAGTCGGGACACAGTGAGGAGGCTGTGGCAGAGGAGGAGGAGGAAGCAATCCGAGGAAAGGTAGGATGAGCACAAATGTCAGAAGCAAAGAGGCATGTGTGGAAGGACCAAAGTATTTTGCCTAGGAAAAGACAGGGAGCCACTGAAATAATGGAAGACCTCAGTGGATTAGGCTGGGCTTCCTTTATCTTCTGATCAAGAAATTTTGCTGAACTTTTCTGGAATAAAAAGTATTTGTTTTATTGGTAAGTGGACTGAAACACCTGGGCACCCAGCCACACGTTCCTGTCCAGACTGAAAGGTTGAGAAGGACTAATCCCCAGGGCTTTTCCTCCATCCTCCCACTTACAGTCTGAGAAAATCGGTATTTCTAATTCAAGTTTTAAAACCAGCACACCTAAACCATAACCTCCGCTTTTGATTTATTTGTTCTTTGTCATATTAAATCAATGCATTATTATCCTAAGTGTGACTCCATGGTCTCACCGGTTCATAAGACTTTTCATGTCGTGATTCTCAATGATTACTTATATTGTGAGGCATCATGGACTGCTTTAGAGAAAAGGCTGTTTTGAATTCGTTATCCCACCTGGGTTAAGTCATTCCTACCACTTCCCACTGCAACCTTCCTTCTGTCAGTTCTCCCCCTTCTCTGTTAGCAGGACATAGTTGAAAAACTGCATTATGTCTGCATTTGGAATGAGTGCTCCAACCATTACTTATCAGAATATCTTGGGTAACCCTGCTGCAACAGGAACATCTAGATGAACAAAGGCAAACCTCAAAATTTAGCAGTGGTTTAAAAGCTGTCATAATTTTATTTATTACAGCAAGGATGAAGAACAGCAAAAGAAGCTGTCCAGCTGAGCAGACTTTTCGAAGTCCAGCAGTGATTTAGGAGTTTATTTCCTGCAGACTTCCAGTCAACCTTGAACTCCCAACTCCTTAAGTCACTTCAGAAAATGAGATGGATGTGCTGAGGTAGTCGGAGAAAGTACCGGTCCACTAACTGTCGTGCTTTAACCCCATACGGCAACTCAGCCCCACCCAGCCGCTCACTCGCTCCCCCCCGGTGGGATGGGGGAGAGAATCAGAAGAGTAAAAGTGAGAGAACTCGTGGGTTGAGATAAAGACGCTTTAATAGGTAAAGCAAGAGCTGTGCACACAAGCAAAGCAAAACAAGGAATTCACTCACTCCTTCCCATGGGCAGGCAGGTGTTCAGCCATCCCCAGGAAAGCAGGGCTCCATCACATGTAATGGTTCCTTGGGAAGACAAACGCCATCACTCCAAACATCCCCCCCTTCCTCCTTCCCCCAGCTTTAGGTGCTGAGCGTGACGCCATACGGCATGGAACAGCCCTGTGGGCAGCTGGGGTCAGCTGTCCCGGCCGTGTCCCCTGCTCGCTGCTGGGGTGGGGGGAGCAGCAGCAAAGGCCTCGACTCTGTGTCAGCACTGCTCAGCAACAGCGAAACCATCCCTGTGTTAGCAGTGCTGTTTCCAGCACAAATCCAAAACATGGCCCCATACCAGCTACTGTGAGGAAAATTAACTCTACCCCAGCCAAAACCAGCACACTATCAAACTCTTCTGATGATGTCTGAGAGCATGAGCAATCCCAGTCAAGGGGCCTTTCCTTAAAAATCAGCGGGTGCTTAAGTGCTTCGTTGGATTGTCACCCAAGTGCTTCCCAACGTATTCTGTAATTAGATACCAGCTGCAGCCATTTACAGTTAATACTTCCTTCATTCCAAGAAACTCTAACCAGCAATTGACACTCTGAGCCAAATAATGACATTACCAAGTCACACGCAAGGATGCTCAACCGTGCATCAAAGCACAACCGTGCCCACTGTCACATTACAAGGCTTTTGCAGCTTCGTTCTTGGCAGGATGCTGACAACAGACCAAGTGCATTGCAACAGAACATTCAGTCGCTCGTGCCTGTATGCAAGGTTGAGAAAGTCAGAGTGTCAGGAGGACACGTGAAGTCCTCCTTGGTGCAGCCCTTGATTTTGGCCCTGGAGCATGGCAGCAGGAGAGAGGTCGTTCCAGAGAAGTCCCAGGAAAAGTAAGGCTATAACAAGCCTATTGACTTTCCATAAGGCACAGGGCATCCTCTCACAAAATGGCTGGAGCAGCAGCCTGGAAACAGAGGAAAAGCATTGCGCAAGAAATTTATGAGCTAAAGATGGAGGAGCTTAACATGAGACTAATCACTTCTATTATTTATTTTGACAAGAAAAGTAAGCAGAAGGTGAAGACATCAAACTGTATGAAGGGGTCCTAACAAGGCACGCCCTTATACGCTTCAACCTGACCACCAAAAGGACTTTGGTAAGAAATTAAGAAATCATCCACTTCTGGCAGCCCTGATACTGTGCAGTAAAGTGCCTGGGTGTTTAAGGCAGCCCTCCTCAGGGAGCAGAGGCTTGGCCGCCCTGCTCAGGGAGCCCACAGCACCAGCACTACGCCCAGCACCCTGCCAGGGAAGGGAACTGGGTACCACCACAGTCTCCACTTCTCTGCACTTGGTCCGATCACATTATGAACTGCGGCAACCAGGTGAGGGAGGACAGTTGCAGTAATTGGTAGCCAAATCTTGGCCTCATTAACATCTGTCTAACACTACTGAATTGGGGAAGAACTTAGAGCATACATTTGACCTCTGTGGTAGCTGAGATGATGGTCTAAGCTGGCCAGGCATAGCTCACATTTAATATGACTGTGATTCTAAATTAGTATTATGAACCGTCATCAGGTCTCACAGTGTACAACCAGCAAAGGACTTCAGGTCTGTGTGAGCAGCAGTGCTTCTCCAGGGCAGACAGGTACGCTGCAGAGAAACACGCCGCTGGATGCATTTAGCAGTAGCAATTCCAAGCAAAGCTGATGATGCCATGGCTAATCATTTCTGTGGACCAGCTGAGGCTGGATTAGACCTGATATGTGACACAGCCCTTCAGGCACCTTCGTACAACATGCCAAGCATCGAACCTGAGGCATCCTGCTGCTGTCTTGGGAAGAGTCTTTGAGTGTTCTTGCTCTGTATTGGCTACTGCAGAGCTCAGCTGGCAACCCAGAGGTATTGCCTTCGTACGTGACAGAGAGCTTGATGTCAGATCATTTTTCTCTACTCTGGAGATGATTTTCACTCATTCTTTCCCTTGCATTGAACCGGTTCCGTAAATGAGCGTTTGCCAGCCCCCTGTGCCCAGTTGCGAGCAGGCATGAGAAAACGGGAAAGGCTCTTCAGCTGGCAGACCAGAACCTTGGAAAAAACCTCATGTACTAACACAAAGAAGGTCATAGATTAGAAACTGGGACAACGAGAAAACAAAAGCTTCTCAGCTGCACACAAGCCTGCTCATGTGAGCTTGTAGGCAATAAAGGGAAGGAAATTTTCTTTTGTCTGAACCTTC